TTATTTTAAATGTTTTTACTTTGTTGTGAGCCGCCCAGAGTCCCAATGGGAGTGGGCGGCATACAAATCTTATTAAAGTAAAGTAAAGTCCCTCTTCCTGCCTAGTTAAGCATAATTGCAATCTTCCTTCAAGGAGGGAAGAAAGAACTTAAACAGGCTTCCCTTTGCAATTTTTCTTTATTTTATTCCTTTTACTCTGGAACCATTTAGCTGATATATTGATTTTCACTGTTTTGGTCAGATAATTAGGTAATCCTTGTCATCCCACTCAGACAAAAATATTGCTATCCGCAATCACTTCCTACTTGCGCAGTTTGGTTTTCTGACAAAATGAAAAATCAATTTTCTGGGAAATAAGTAAATCTTTTTAGTGAACAGAAGATAGTATAACTCTTAGGTATGTATGTATGTATGTATGTATGTATGTATGTATGTATGTATGTATGTATGTAAAGCAATTCCTTACATGAGTCACTTTAATTAGATATTTTACTATTATTTCCACGGTCCTTTGGTTACTGATTCTTTTTCAGTGTTAACTTAATCCAGAGAACCACTTAGTGTAGCAGCTAAGGCATCAGCCTTGGAATCAGGAGTCCATGAGTTCTAGTCGCCATCTTAGGTACAAAGCCATCGGAGTGACCCTTGGCCAGTCACCCTCCCTCTTCTCAAGAAAACTGCAGGAATTTATCCAGGCAATCACCAGAAGTCAGCATTAACTCTAAAGCTCCAAATATCCAAACCTTAGTTCCGTGATGGCGAACCTATGGCACGTGTGCCACAGGTGGCACACTGAGCCATATTTGCCAGCAGCCCTCAGCTCCAGTGCCTCTGGAGCCTGAGGAGGGCAAAAACTCCCCCTCTCCGCATGCTGGGGGTGTGTGTCATGCATGCATGTGCAGGGGGGCATTTATAGCGTGTGCACACACAATTTTGGCACACCTTTAGAAAAAGGTTAGCCATCACTGCCTTAGTTCATCACAAATATTTTGCCATTTTCTGTTTAAAATGTTTATATATGAAATCATTCCAAGGAGAGTTTTCTTCTATTCTGGAAGAACATAAAATTATAAAAATGTTATAAAAATTTAGCGTTAATGATTTCTTATCCAAGAAGCTTCTTCTGTCCTAACGTAAGTGTGGGGAATGGAAGAGTTGTTGGCCACGTGGGGGATTATCTGTGCCCTCAGAATCAGAGTGCAAATAGGTGTGGAACCTTCTTGGGCCTGCTGAAAGGACTGTATTCATTCCTTCCCAACTTTTTTTATTTTTCTTTGGTTGTTGCCCCATTTATTAACCCTCTTTGGCCAAAGCATCTGCCTGATCATGCTTAACTGCTGAACTCATTCAATCTGTAAATACTTTAAATGTCATTCTTGCTTTATTATAGTACTTCTTTCCCTCAGCCTGCAGATACTTCCCTTGTAGACGGCCTACCAGACCATCTTCCTCATTCCTTTTTTTACAGGTGGTCTGAAGGGAGGTATCTGTCTTCTGTCAAGTGTTCCCTTTGCCTAAAAAGATCTCCTGTGTTAGTCAAAGATAAAAGAGATACTGTATGAATTCCTTAGATATATTTTAAAATGGAGGTTATTTTTTAAATAAAACTAGCTTGTGTTTTGCTTGCTTCAGCACTCGCAGAGCCGTAGATGAAGATGAGCAAGCTGCCAAGGAGCGTCTTAATACCCATTTTATGTGGATGTCTGGAATGAAGGGCTTAACTGAAGGTGAAGCAGCCCATCTGATTGTAGAGGAGGCTAAAAGACTTTTAAAGCATGACTTAGCTGTTTGGGGAGTGCAATGGAACCCCAATTCCTCAATTTTATTGGATACGTCTTATACATTTTCCACAAAGGGAAGTGTTACAGAAGGCCAACGGAAATGGAAAAATAACCACAACATGACTTTATCAGAAGCAAGTGTCAATTCACAAATTAAAAATATATCATCTGTTAAACAAAAAAATAAGAGGCAGTTGGATGGTAATTCAGCAGAAGAGATTGATAATAAGGCTCCAATAGAAGAAATTGAGGCAGAGGCAAGAAATGACATATACTCTAGTGCCAAGAAACGAATGAATTTAAACAGAGATATGATAAAGGAAGCAGTGGAAAATGCTGAAGACATTCTGAAGAGAAGCTTGAAAGAAGGCATAAAAAAAGATGTTGCAACTGGCTCTAAGTCTAACATTGAACTTCATTTCAAACAAATAATGGATAAAAATACAATTACAAATCCCAATGGGATATTACAAGTTGTAAATATAGATGAAGTGAATACTCATACCTGCAGTTTTTCAAGCAAAATAGAATGTATGAAGAATGGTTATTCCCCTGTTTTGGATCCCGTGTTCAAAGAATTTGAAGAAAGCTTCCAGCTGGATACCCAAACAGATAGACTATTACAACAGCCGATGGCAGATGAAACTGTTAATAAGCAACAACTCAAAGACAAAAAACTAGTAGCCAGTCTAACACAGAAAAACTGCATTGGTATAAAGGGTACCAATATGTCAGAAAAAAATTCTATATGTGTTAAAGATAAACTAGAGTGTGGAAAAGGACATTCAGCATTATTGCTTGGTAAAGTATCAGATGTGGGATGGCCTCAAACTGAGAAATATCCAGGAACATCAGTTTGCTTGGAACCAGATTCCCAATTGGACAGCTTCTTACGGCACTATCAAACTCCAAACTTAACAGAACAACAGCTCACTGTTCTTCCAAACAATATTTCCTTTTCTCTCAGCCAGTTCCCATCTGGCGTGGATATAAATGAAGCAAATCTAAATGGCAGTGATAGTTTATTGTTTGATGGAGACTTTAACCACATAGATGGCTCCCAGAGTGGTGATAATAATGAAAGGCTCATGGAGACTATTCCACAGGAGCTGGCAATCCCTTCTTTATTCAAAAGTGCTTTAAAATATGATGCCTCAGATGAATTGAAAACAAGACTGAATAAACCTATATCAAATGACACTATGAACCAAAAATTGTCAAATGGGTGTAATTATATAGCGTCAGATACTAGTTCTTTACATGAAGCAAAAATATTAAATAGCATAGTTTTACCTCCTTTTCATAAAAACAGCAAGACTAAAAACCCAGATAAGACAATAAAAAGGCTAAAAAGTAGTGAAAAGAATGTAAGTGAAATTCCACAGAAAGATTGTGCACAAGAAAATGATAACCAAATGAACAAATCTGGTGTTTTATTTGATTTGAGTCCAGGAATGCAGAAAGTTTTAGATAGAGGGTTGAGCCCTTCATATGATAAATTTGAAATGGGGCCAAACAACGAAATGAATTTAAAGTTTTCTAAGAATACTAAAGATTCAAGAACTCTTGCCCTTTTTCCTGGTCAAAGTGAATTATCCTTGCACAAAGATTTTGGCAGAATTTGCCTAACAAAAAGTAAAGCTAATCAAAAAAACAAAAATGGAAAACGTGTTTCTTGGATAGATGGGAACAAAATGCCTCCTTCACCACTGAATGTCATGGAGTCTACTCCACAATGCATAGAAATACCCGTTGTGACAAAAGCAAAAAACACAATCTCAACAGATAAAGTTCCATATGTTCGGTTCTTACAGAAGGATAAATCTGATTTACACACAGAGGAACAAGTATTACAACATCAACCAGAAAATTCAGAACACGTTGAGCTTAATCTTGAGGATAATTCAGTGATAAGTGAAGATTTTTCACTCCATTTATCTCAAGAAAAAAATCCTCCAGCATCTTGCAGTGCTGATAATTTTTCAATAATTGATGTGGCAAATGATAAAACTCTCTTCCAAACGTTCATTGAAGAATGGAAAACACACACAAAATTTTCTATCTCTGTAGCTTGTGAAAAGACAAAAATCCCCCTGTCTTCTCACAGATCAGCTATTGGTGCAAAGTTCAAGCAAGGTGAGTAGTCTGCTGTGTTTTAGCTTGCAGATCAATATTTCCAAATTTGTATGAATAAGCTATTTTTTAAAATAAATCAACCAATTGCAGATTAATTAGATCATTTAATTACAATTTTGGAAGGAAATTCAGAATTTTATCGCTATGCAAAAGTGTATTATTGTCTAAGGCGACAGGTGCTCTCCATAATTGAGGTGTATTTCATATGAAACATCAACCAAAACTGATAGTTCTGCAGGTAGTAAAGCAGTAATTTCTATATATACATACATTAAACTTAATGCAGTATGTTTTGTTTACACACAGATCACTTGTACACATATGCATGAGCACACAGGTCTTAAAATTGAATGATACTGCTAACATAAGGTCAGCCCTATAGTGCCAAGTGCCAGAACATTTGAAAAGTCCTAGAAAACTGGAAAAGAATTTTAGCCAAATCACCTTAGCTGATAGTCTAAAAATTGTACTGTAGACCTTTATGTGATAGTTGCTCAACTGTGTAGCTGTGTAGTGATACTGTGTACTGATACTTTGTTCAGAAAACTGAACAAAGGAAAAGAAATGTAAGTACCTTCCTTATCTTGCTAAAGACAATAGTTAAGAGCACTGTCTGAATATGTACATTTATAGATGTGAAACAGCAAAGCTCTTAACAAATCAACGTTGGCAAATTATTGGGCAATTGAAGAACGGCATGACACGGTCAAGAAGAGTCGTAAACACTTCTAAACTGCATTGATCTCACTTCCTTTAAGACTGTCTCACCATATCCTAGAAGAAAGTACTGTATGGAAGTTAAATGTGTGACTGATAAATTTATCTGCTGGTGATCGCTCAATGAGTTTATAGTTTGGTACTATGTTCTTATCACTATTATTTTATTTAACAAATACTTTTCAGAGATGGACTTTTCAGTATTAACATAAGTTAATTTAAAAAAAAGATGAGTGCTACAGTTAAGTAGGAAGAGACTATATTGGGATTGTTACAATCTAATTTCTTTTCAACCAATTAAATTGATCAAAAAATATTTAAACGTGGTGAAGATCCTGTCTATTAACATAATTATTCTCTGAAAGCAAAATAGAATAGGACCAAATTTTGTTTGAAAGCTGCAAAAGAAAGATTGAATTAAAAAATTGGCTTGATCAGGACAAGGGCTACAGAGAAAAAAAATAAATCTACCCCCTCTGCCAAATCCCCAGTGCTTTTCAACGGAGAGACATTTGGGCAACTGCTAAAAACGTTTCTAGCTCCTCCAGTTTAAGCCCATTTTCTCTTTCTCAGAAATGTAATCCTGAATAAGGATAGATGGAAAGATCTGAAATTTCAAAGAATTGAAGACATAATTTCCCTTCCTACTTGTTTTTACTTCCATTTGCCTTCATTACACAAATAATGAATACAAATTATTAACCCCGGTGACGCAGTGGTTAGAGTGTAGTACTGCAGGTTACTTCTGCTGACTGACTGCTGCCTGCAATTTGGCAATTCAAGTCTCACGGGCTATTAGTGTGCAGAATTATTAAGCAACTAAAAAAACAAAAAAATTGCCCTTCTCACTTGTTTATTTCCATCTTTTAAAGTGAGAATAATAACTCAAAATTTATAAATAAACATTTCTGTCAGTTCAAAAAAAAATCAGTGACCAATATAGCCACTCTTTTTTAATAACAGTCATAGGTCTTCCATTCATGGAATCTCTCAGTTTCCCGATCTGTTGACGATCAACTTTTTGTGCAGCAGTAACCAGCCTCCCAGACACTGTTCAGAGATGTGTACTGTTTTTCTTCACTGTGAATCTCTTAAGAAGGGCCCACAAGTTCTCAATGGGGTTTAGGTCAGGTGAGCAAGGGGCCATGTCATCGTTCTTTCATCTTTAAGGCCATTGCTGGCTAACCATGCAGTGGAGAACTTTGATCATGCTCTTCATGAAAGATGCAGACCTTTTCCGGTACTACTGCATACTGGTAGTAGATTTGGAGGTTGATTTTGAGTCCATCTTCAATCCTAAAAGGTCCAACTAACTCATCTTTAATAATACCATCCCATACCAGTATCCCACCTCCACGTAGCTGGCATGTGAGTTGAAATGGAGCTCTGTCCATTACTGATCCAGCCATAGGCCCATCCATCTGGTCCGTTAAGACTCACTCATCTCATCAGACCATAAAACCTTTGAAAAATCTGTCTTCAGATATTTCTTGGCCCAGTCTTGCCCTTTCAACTTATGTGTCTTGTTTAGTGGTGGTCAGATTTCAGCCTCCTTTACCTTGGCCATGTCTCTGAGCACTGAACACCTTCTACTTCTGGGCATTCCAAATAGGTTGCCGTTCTGGAATATGGACTGGAGGATAATGGGTTCCTGGTAGCTTCACGTTTGATTCTTTTCAAATCTTTGGCAATTAATGTGTTGTCTTTTTTCTCAACATGTTTCTAGTGATCCTGTTGATAATTTGCAACAAAATACTTGATGTTTCTGTGATCACACCCCAATATCTGAGCAATTTCAAGAATGCTGCAGCCCTCTGAAAGACTTTTTACAATTTTTGACTTTTCAGAATCAGTTAAATCTCTTTTTTGGCCCATTTTGCCTGAGGAAAAGATGCTGCCTAATAATTATGCACACCTTGATATAGGGTGCTGATATGCTTAGGCCACACCCTCACTCATTACACAAATGCACATCTCCTGATCTGCTTATATCCACTAAGCATTCAAGTTTAATACAGCTTGGAGGTTGAAAATATGCATTAAAATGATGATATGGTCAAAATACTCACTTGCCTAATATTTGTACATACTATTTAGCACGGCAAAAACACTATTCCTTGATGCTATCAGTGTTCTTGTAATTCATCATTTTACATTAGAATGCTCAGAACTTAATAGTTTATCTATAGCAGGGGTGTCAAACTCAAGGCCTGAGGGGTGCTTTAGATCTGGCCCACGGGGGCGGGGGGCTGAAAACAGCAAAGGACTGCCCCATGGTGCCTCTGCCAGCAAAAGCGGAGCTCCGTTTTTGCTGGCAGAGGGTTGCAGGAGGCCGTCGTAACCTGAAAATAGAGCTCCAAAGCCCATTTTTGCTGGCAGAGAGCTTGGACCACCACAGGCGCCCCTGACTTGAGTGACCTTGAGTTGGCCACACCCACCTTGGCCCTGAGGTCAAACACAATCCTGATGGTGGCCCCCAATAAAATCGACTTTGACTCTCCTGATCTATACATTTAAAAGGTTAAACAATACCAAAATAGAAAGACTGCTTTCTACATGGCTGATTGAAACTTGTAAAGGTTAAAATTATTATAGCCTGCTTCTGTGTTTCTATGATTGCTCTGTAGGAGGTACATCTCATAAAAGTCTCTGCGAGAATGATGGATTTCCTGTTCATGCCTGTGAAGACTTGCTGGTAGTTGGCTTAGCCGTGTGCTGGGGTAGAAAGGATGCTTACTACATCTCATTGCAGCAGAACTCTCAAAGCCAGATTGGTAAGAATGTATTTATTGTGTACTTCCAAGGAGGCAATAAATGTAGCATATGCATGCAGTACTGTAGTAACTCCATATTAATGAATCAGTTAAAGTTAGTAGAATTTGTTGAAAAGAAGTTGGGTTTTGTTTGTTTTTAATTTACATGGAACAATTCTTTTTTATAGAATGCCTGTAAATTATGCAGTTTTTAAAAAGTAATTAGGAAATGGTTCGCCTGGGGCAAAAAGCCCAGACACAGCATGGACCTCGTTGACCTAAACAATGAGAGGAAAATATCTTTGTGAGGCACTTCTGAGTCAGGTGACCAAAAAAAAGGGTATATGTAGAAATGAAAGAGAAAGAGAAATACTTTCAATACAGTTTGCAATAGAACGAGGCAAGGAAGATTTCTGCTCTTGTATAACAAAGCACATTTAGATACAAACACATACTGTCATGGTTTCTTCCTTTCTCTTGTCTTTAATGTATGCATTTCTTGTCTCTTTAGAGGTAAGTCCCAGTTTGGCACAGCCTCCATTGGATCAAGACCTGCCTGTAGCAGAAAGATTACAACATCTTAAGCAACGTCTGCAGGAGTCTGAGAGAGCATTTTCACTTGTTGTGTACAATTTTATTCAGCACTACAAGATTCTCCTGAAGGCCTGTGGCATCTCATTGGCAGGTTGCTTTGAGGACCCAAAGGTTTGCTAACATCATTTCCTATAATTCTTCTATTTCTATAATGGCACTCAATAAACTAAAGATGGGGAAGGATGACGATAACCCAAAAAGGAAGATGTTTTAGGGAGGAGAGAGTTTTCTTATACTAATTGTTGCATGTTTAGATTCTTTGTCAAGATTCCATCTAGTTCTCATTTCTTACAACTACATGTAAGAATGCAAGTTCAAACATGCACTTCCAAGATGACTTGGACAACCACACGTTCATAGAGCTTATCTTAGATGGAAGAAAGATTATCATTAAAGCCTTGGTGCCGCAGTGGTTGGAATGCAGTACTGCAAACTACTTCTGATTGCCTGCTGCCAACAGTTCGTGAATTTGATTTTCACTAGCTCAAGGTTGACTCAGCCTTCCATCCTTCTGAGGTCAGTAAAATGAGGACCCAGATTGTTGTTGGGGTCAATATGATGACTCTAAACTGCTTAGAGGACTGTAAAACACTGGGAAGCAATGTTAAGTCTAAATGCTATTGCTATTATCAGAGGGACCTAATGAAGAGTTTACATACACATTCCCATAATAGTACTGTGCCCTAAACTGACAGATGACTTCTGTTAACAACTTCATATGCACATTAAAAAACAGGTAGAAAATAATCAATGCTTGTGGCAGTCCACAAGGAAGCATTCACTGGATCAGTCATTTCTTCAATAATGTCATTGACTGAATCTCTCACTAAGGAAGATTAAGCTATCATAAAATAGTGCTTCCAATCCCCAATACTTGCAGGTAGCCCAAAAGGTTGCTGTGACCAGTGGTCCCAAAGGCTGCCAAGAAATATAAAAAGATTGGGAAAAGCACCCTCTCATCTTGGCTTGACAAATGTCATCAACAAAAGCAACCAATGCAATTAAAATCTTAAAGCTTGTAGAAACTGTGGTTGATTTTAACAGCAAATAGTTGTGCAGTGATCAAAGCAGCCAGGCAGGAAACCTGACTGCTGCCTATTCCCCAGGAAGGATTTGGACCGCCCACCAGTACTATACAGGACACGAAGTAACGATGTCTCATATTTGTGATCGTCACAGTGTAGGTATGAGCTTGTGTCCATGTTCATTTTTCCTTTGCCTTCCCTGTGCCGTGAGTGTTACTTCAGTTGCTTCATCTTTCAGAGTTTTTGTGAGTCAGGGAACCATCCAAAGTTAACCACAGAGAAGCCATTCAGGAGCAGTAATGCCCAGTATCTGATTTACCTCTCATTGCCAGTAGCTACTTGGGCACTCAGCCAAACTACCTGCAATATTGCTGGAGAAATCTCCAAGCATCTGCAAGAAGCCATGCAGATCCATGAGGTGCCTAATGTAGAATATCTTGAGCATTATGTTTAGAAATCACAAGTGGAAGTTAATACCACCTGGATCTGAAAGTGATTTGTCCATAGTAATAAGCTAAGAGAAATGCTGTCCATGTCCAGGTGATTCATCAACTGCTCCAAGGGTTAGAGGTCAAGCTTTGGCTGCCTACACAAGTCAAAATCAGGAGTACAAAATCACTCTGAAAGCCATGAATTCCTTTGCTACTTACAAAGACCTGGATATTGAATATCATTAATATGAACAGGCTGATACACCAACACAAGTCTTGAGATAAAGCCTATTAGCTTGTATAGTGATCCAGCAAAACAGCCAGTACACCAAGAGCATATTTAGTTACTTCACATAATTAACAGGCACCAGCAATACAGCTACTCATATTGGCACCCTCATTAGAACATTAACACATGAATAAATATTTAAATGATGAATACTGTGGCCCATGGCAGTGATGGCTAGCCTTTTCCGGACTGAGTGCCCGGAGTGCATGCGTGCGCAACCCTCCGCACGCGGCCATCATGTATGCACCCGCCTCCCACACGTGCCCTGCCCCCTGTGCACATATGTACAGTGGAGTTGAACTAGGGCAATGGGTCATGTACCCACAAAGGGTGCTGAGTGCCACTTGTGGCATGTGTGTGCCATAGGTTCATCATCACAGGTCCATTGTATTAGTACGGAATAGCTAAGTGCAAAGATCTGTAAAACAGAGTGACCATTGGAACTCATGGTTCTACTATTGAATTCTGTGAATCAGTAATCCTATAAATCTGACTTCTGAAGTGGGATATAGATATGTGAATAACATATTTCCATTTTTGCAAATCTTGTCTCTTGCATTTTAATAAGAAATGTGCTTTTTCCATATTATCTTGTGAATGCTGAACATTTTTTTCTTACTCTAGGTAGCATGCTGGTTAATGGACCCTGAATCAAAAGAAGATTCCTTTCACAATATGGTTGCCAATTTCCTTCTTCAGGACTTATTCTTGCTGGACAAAATTGGAGCAGGTCAGGGAAATCAGAGCCTGGGTCTCAGTGCCAGTACAGATCAGTCTGGACGATACAGGGCATCTGTAGAGTCTGTCCTTGTCTTCCATATCATGGAAAAACTCCATATTATACTGCAAAAGGATAATTTGCAAGGTAAAAAGGCTATAGATTGACACTATCATTTAATGATAGGCATTAAATGATTAAAATTCAGCCTGAGCTTCAAACTAATACATATAAATGTTGTAGACTGTTGTGTCACAATATTATGTTTTGCTATCATAGTTTCAGACAATCATGTTTTTGATTTTGGTGCATCAGAACACTATAAGCATCAACAGAAAATGAAAAAAAAAAAAGAATTGGGTGACATAGCAGTTAAGCCAATTGTTCTTTATGGTCAGTGTAGATTTAGATCTTGTTATTTACTAATTAGCTTTTAACTTTCAAGTTTATTTCCTGATTACTTTTTTTTTTTTTTGAGATTGAAACAATGTGTTAGCATTCCATTCTTTGGAACATAAGTTCATTCTGCATTGTACACATACTCTGCAGAATACATGATTGAGAGTAAGTTGATAGGTGATGAAGGGGCAGGACAAAAATATAAGCAAGGAGCAGCTTTCATTCAAATGTTCTAAAACACTAATATAATATATTTTGTAGAATGTAACTAAAATTATTTTTTGCTTCTTTTGTCATTATTATAGATATTTTTCATAAAGTGGAGATGCCGAATCAGTATTGCTTGGCCTTGCTGGAGCTCAATGGAATGGGGTTTAGCACAGTAGAATGTGAGGCCCAGAAACATGTTATGGAAGCAAAATTGAATGAGATTGAGAATCGGATATACCAGCTGGCAGGTCACAGTTTCTCCTTGACCTGTCCCGATGATGTTGCTGAGGTATTGTGATGAACTTACGGTACATGAACAAATTACGTTTTGATCCAGACATCATCAATGAAATTTTGATGGGAAGAAGTCTGTTGCCTCTGTTCAACCAGTAAAATTCTAATTGCTTCCGAAAAAAATGTTTTCTCAATGTTAGTTTTAAAATTGTTTTTCAAAATGTTTGCTCACATTTTTCTATCAATCTTGTAGTGTCTAAAGTAGAATAAATATTGCCTGAAATCACAGTTTGTGACAACCTTTTAATAAAACACTTCATGGGATGCTAATAGCTTATAATATCTTATAATTATAAGCTTAATTTCTTGTCCCCAAATTTATTGACTATTGTTGGCATGTGGCATGTGCCCATTCTTTGTGCCCATTCATTCATTCCGTAGACTATATCATTAAAAAATGTAAGCATCCAGTTAGAAGAGTTCATTCAATTCTACACACATTTGCACTGATATTACCTAGTTGGTAATGAAATATCTGCAAGCAAACAATGAAGCTCAGGGAGCACTAAGAACGTCACAGTTCAACCCTGAGCTATTAATATTCTCTTCTATTCATTCTTCAGTTCATTAATTTGCAGTATGTAATCCTAGATGAATATGTAAATAATGAATCTAGTAAGCATCATTCAATGATGTTTGTTGTTTTTATCTTATTGTTGTTGGCTGCTCAGAGTTGCCTTCAGTGAAATGGTTTGACTATACAAATTTGTTAAATTTTAAAAAACAGATTCATCTGTATATTTTTTAGGGAGGAGGACAGGAATTAGAAGCATCATCGGTTTGGTGTAGGTACCCATTTCAGGTTGTCTCAATTGGTATATCTGCCACCACGGAGCACTTTTGTCATTTGCTGATTTATTTCATTGCTGTGTTTTACTGTCATATTCAGAGACTCAATGTCGTTTTATTTTGTAGCTTAACTCAGCCATAATTTGGTCTGGTGCCAGTGTCTTCCCAAAATGCTTTTTGCTATCTGAGCTATTTTTTCTCTTATTATTTTGCATTCATATTCTGCATTTTAAAAACAGTGATGCAGTTCATTTAAACAACATTTAAAGCCTAAAATGTAATTATTAAAATTAAAACTTCTCTAAAATATGTCTAAAACTATCAGTTCCTTAAAATTCTTGATGCAAAACCTCAATATTAGCTTAAAACAGAGTAATTCTGTCTCTTGATTTTTGAAAGGCCATGGAAGGACATCAGGTGACATTTAATATCTCGTGTGTGTGTGCGTGTGTGTGTTTGTGTGTTGGAATTTTTTTAGCCCAGTTTTGGAGACATGATAGTGGGAAGCCTTGGGAGGCAAATCACTCAATTTCTATTCTTTACAACTTCCACAAATAGCTTAAATATTTTCATAGCACAAATATGTAAAAGAAAAATAGAAAAAGAACAAAAAAATACAGATACAGTGAGAAAAAAAAGAATCAGCTTCGATCTCCTTTACAGCAGTTACAAACAATTTTAATAGTTTTAATTATTTCTCCCATTCTAGAACTATATTGTATACCTTTGTTACATATTCAACTGCTTTTAATCAGCAAATCCAGAAATCATCAGTTCATTTTTATCAATTTTTCCAAAAAGTCCATAAAATGTTTCCAGTCTTTTAACAAAGTACTTATTGTTGTGCCAAAGTAGTCTAAAATCTTACTGCTGAAATTCACCTATTTTTGATGGCATGATTTTAACATGTGGGAAGCTTACATGGATTCCTTTCCAAAGCTAACCTAAAGTAAAGAGATTCATCTTAGTCTGTTTCAGCATTGTATATTGTAGAAGTAAAACAGATTTACAGTAATGCATAACTAGAACCTTTACTAAAAATTAAGAAAGCAACTCATTATTTTCTGTATTATATACCTCTGCATTTCAGTGATGATAATCTATTTAACCCTGAACATGTTTAAATAACTGGTGAAGTGCTGGACTACAGTAGGACTAAGAAGAGTTCTGAGTGTTCAAGAGCACACTTCCCTGAATGACTTTGGACAGAGCAGAAAACTAAATAGTCTACTCAGACGTTTTTAAAGTGGAGATTAAAACTGGAAGATAAAGTATTAGGCACTGTTTTCTGCTCATTGAGGGATAAGATATAAATATTTTTTGAAAAGTTGTGTTGAGTATTAAGATAAGATGTAATTGCATTGCTGTGTTCTCTTTCAGGTATTATTTCTGGAGCAAAAGTTGCCATCAGATGGAGAACTAAAAATGCAAAGAGGCAAGAAAGTGTTGGGTTGTACTAGAAAAGCAACAACAAACAAGAATCGGGCAAGGCTGAGTAAACAGTTCAGTACAACAAAGGTATAGTTTTTGTGTGATTTAACTTTGTGGAATGACCATTTTACCTCAAAAGAGGAACTATATTTCTGCTTTGTTAAGGAGCCAAGGTGGCGCAGTGGTTAGAGTGCAGCACTGCAGCCTACTTCAGCTGACTGCAGTTCTGCAGTTCGGCTGTTCAAATCTCACCGGCT